TTAATAAATTTTTATGTCGTCAAATTAATAAATCCTACTTAATTTTCTTTTGTTTCAATGTTGGACCTATTTCAAAGCAATTTGAAAAAAAAGAATGATCAATTGGCCATTGGATCCACACTTTAAAAATTGAAGGGCTTAAATTGAATTGAAGAAGACAGGAGATGCACAATTGATGAACTCAAGGGACTAAATTGAATTAATTATGAAGAATGAGGCATTGGAGACAAGCACCACATTATATGGGCCTTTGAACATGGTAATTGAATTGGTATCAAATTCTAATTAAAATGGAATTCAAGAAATCTGGTGGAAAGAAAATTGGAACTGGAGACCTTAGACAATTGGACTTCTAATGTAACAAAAATTGGCAATTGATTGGAATAAAAGGGAGAAGTACATGCAAAGCAATTGGGGGGAAAAATAGGAAAAAACTATAGGTACAGAATAATGACTCACAAAGTATTTCAGATGTTGCGTTGGCAACTTTTGACTGGATCTGATTGTTTTTTTTTTTCGGGGTTAAAGTGATTGATATAGGGGGATTCGGGATTCTTATACACTTTTCATCAACATATTTTCATCAATATTGCATTCATTTCAACTTTGCATCGATTTCGTTAAATTAGGTCTTGCATTTTAAGAATAATAGTTAATGACAATCTACTCATAGAAAAACCACAAGTTTTCATTAAATCTGTTAAGGCTAAGTTAATTCGAACTTTAACTAGTACAATCTATGTGGGTACGATACGTGAACTCAAAATTCATTTTACTAGTTAACGAATCGAGCAATTGTGGTAATTCAAATCGAAAAGATTTCGCTACAAATGTTTGATATCGTTGTCGGGGATTGTTACTTTAGCTTTGGGTTAAAAGTATGTTGAATGAATTAAGTTTCCTTTAAAATCCCGATGGAAATTGCAAATCAGATATACAATTGCGTAAGAATCGTGTCTTTCATGACATGACAAAACATAATGAGGTGCGATTTCATTTTATAAAAGAGATTGTCTCCAAGGGTTATCCACCTTGATAAAATTCATAAGACATGGGGACGAAACAATACTGGTATGTTTGATTGCTTGTATGGAAAGAAAATGAGTTCTAAACAATTGAATTGTCTAGAATTTATTTGCATCGAAAATGTCAATTAAACATATTTGATTGACTTAATTTTCAACTTAGAAAATGTTGTATGTTTCCATAAAGTTGGGTTTTTGAGAAATAAGGAAAGGAAAACATGGTCGAATGACCAATTTTTGAAAAAATATTTTTTCACGAAAAAAAAAATGTCAATCAAATACCCCAAAAGTATAAACTTAAGTGAAAAATGGACATTTACCATAAAAAAATAAAGTCAATCAAACACACCCTACATGTAAGCAAGTTTAAGTCTTTCTTGAGCTTACTTACATTAATACTGGTTGAGTTCTTTGTTTTAAGCAAATTTGAATTTCTGCTTCTATTTTTTGCTTATTACTAACTTTTCTTTTTCGGTTTGCCATGTAGGCTATGATATAAATTGGAGTGAAGGTTTAGATTTATGCTCCACGTACAGGAGCATAAATCTTACAGGGGCTTACATGCCCCTCACTGTATTAAAAAAATGTATAAAAAAATATGGACCCCACTTGAATGTTTGTGGCCTGACAGACCTGTGAAATTCAGCTCCTGTACATGTAGAAGGCCTCGAAGGTTTATTGCACTAAAGTATATTTGGCATATGGTTCAAGACGGAGATTCTTGACAAAGTGACCCATGTGATGAAAGCTCAAGCCCGATTGTGTGTTCGTAAAATGTGTGTGTTGTTGGTCCTTAGCACAATTCTAGTCGTTGAAATTGCTTTTTGTTAGGGGAAAATTACATAGATCAAGTCTTTAAATTTCAAAGTGCAAAATCAGGTGTGAAATTTTTTTAATCAAAATCCAGGTAATTAAATATTATATCACCCAAACCCTAATTTCATTTCATCTCATTTCATCCTCCTCCCTTTTCCCTTCTTCCCCTTTCTCCCTCGTCCCTCTCTACCTACTGTGCAGCGGCTCCTCCTCCTTCCCCTCCCACTCTCTACTTCGCCAATGAGTCTCTCTCTGCCTACTGTGAACGGCGGCAGCGTCACGACGCCGACGCTGCCGTTCACCTTTCACTTTCTCACTCTACTCCCAAACGTTCTTCCTTATCTCTCAAATGGAAAAAAATTTCGGCAACTTCTGGCCACCAAGACCACCAGATTTGGGTACCATTGCAAAGCCCTTAATAACACCCTTAATTTCTGCCTAACATCCATCAATTTCATCGAAGTATGAGGGAGAAATCAACAGTCAAAATCAACTGCCCAAAAATGTTAAAAGCGTCGGAATCGCGTTCTCCGGTCAACTTCATGGCGGCAGGCCACCACCGACCAACTCCCCAAAGCCAGAGGACCCTCCCCATGTCCACAATTCATCCCAAAAAGCATCACACAAAACGGAATTAACCAGAGCAATATTTGCAGTCACGAACGAGAAACCAGTAAATTCGAAAAATACAATTTTCGACGTCATACGAACAACCCACGTGGCGGACTAACTGGGTCCTCTTCCCCTCCCCAAGACGCACCTTGCCCGGGTATGGGTCAACCTCGATTTAACTCCCAACAGCCTGAATTTAACCCAAAAACTCTCGAACTCGCGACAGGCGGACATATTTACTAGAAATTCCAACGCCGGCATGAAGATCCATGGTGGCGGACCACCTGGAGTAGGCTCGCCCTCACATGGCGCACCTAGCCCAATCATGGTCTTCACCAATTAAGCCTAGAACGTGACCAATTCTATAATCTGTGACCAACTATTTTGTTACATGTGACCTAAAAATTATATAATTTGTGACTGTGAAAAATCTATGACCAACTGATTTGGAAATATGTGATCTCCATAACCATAATTTTTTTTAACTTGTGGTCATTAAAAATTTGTGACCTATAATTTTTTTGATCAGTGACCAATGGAGTCAATTGTGATTCCGAAATAATCTGTGACCAATTGATTTGATAAGTTGACATCGGAATCGGAGTAGTTACCGGATTTAAGCGGCGATGGAACGGTCACTAGAATAGTCGTCGGAGTAGGCGCTGGTCACCTAAGTAGTCATCGGAGCAGTTGAGGAGATGGAGATGGGGTGGGTA